AGGCCATCCTGCGGCTCCCGCTGTTTGTGGGATCGGAGCCCCTCCCGCTTCACGGTGGTCTTTTCCTCGCCCCTGCACACCACAAAGCCTGTTCAACCATAACCTCCATCCTTATCTTGCCCCCTCCCTTTTCTTTATTCATCCCCCTCCCCAAAGACGTGAATGTCCCCCCTGACCGGAGCAGCGGCCGCACGCAGGCGGCTGAGCCCGGGAGTGAGGCGTGGCAGGAGGCCTTGCCCTGCTCCTCTGTCCCCGCAGCGCGCTGGAGGCTGCAAGGAGCTGAAGATGGGGCCCGGTTAAAATTCTTGGTCTGCTTTCCCATCGCTTTTGCGGGAGTCAGGCGCTCGCCCTCTCTCGGGTTCACCTGCTTGTTTTCTGCTGGCTGTTTCTGGGCTTTGTCGGTAACTGGGAGCTGTCGGAGAAGCCTGGACCAGGATGCGGTGGTGTGCTTTGGTCCTGTCTGTGGCTTCGGACGGCGGAAGGTGGTCACTTTCTGTCTGCGTGTAGCCGCGCTCAGGTGTCTGATGGTAACAACAGCATCCCCCATATTTAGAACAAAATTGTCCTCTCTGAAATTAGCAGAAGCGGCAAGCACTGAGAAGTCTGCAAAGCAAGCATCAGAACAGATGTGTGAAAACAGCCCCTTTGCAGTACACTTTTCACAGAACTTTACATTTTTGATGCATCTTTCCCCTTTTGTGCCTAACCAAAATATGTTCTGTGTTTTGTTTTTCCTTCCTGCTACCAGTCTTTTAGGAAAGTGAGTCTGCACTGGAAATGCTTGCAAAGTTTGCATCTTTACCTTTTAAACTTTTTTTGTAAAACTCTTAGCACTCTGATCCCGTAACAGTTAAGAGCAGCCTTTCTGCAGGCTCAGCTGTGTGTCCAGTCAGGCTGCTGGTATAAATTGTGGTGCTCTGTTTGTCCTTGGGGTTATCTGCAGAGGGAAGGCAGGCCCTGGCAAAATCAGTAAGCTTAATGTTGGCGTAAGAATGCACTCTTGTCAAAAAGCTGCTTTGGTCCTCTCTGTGGCTTCGGACGGCGGAAGGTGGTCACTTTCTGTCTGCGTGTAGCCGCGCTCAGGTGTCTGATGGTAACAACAGCATCCCCCATATTTAGAACAAAATTGTCCTCTCTGAAATTAGCAGAAGCGGCAAGCACTGAGAAGTCTGCAAAGCAAGCATCAGAACAGATGTGTGAAAACAGCCCCTTGCAGTACACCTTCCACAGAACTTTACATTTTTGATGCATCTTTCCCCTTTTGTGCCTAACCAAAATATGTTCTGTGTTTTGTTTTTCCTTCCTGCTACCAGTCTTTTAGGAAAGTGAGTCTGCACTGGAAATGCTTGCAAAGTTTGCATCTTTACCTTTTAAACTTTTTTTGTAAAACTCTTAGCACTCTGATCCCGTAACAGTTAAGAGCAGCCTTTCTGCAGGCTCAGCTGTGTGTCCAGTCAGGCTGCTGGTATAAATTGTGGTGCTCTGTTTGTCCTTGGGGTTATCTGCAGAGGGAAGGCAGGCCCTGGCAAAATCAGTAAGCTTAATGTTGGCGTAAGAATGCACTCTTGTCAAAAAGCTGCAGGAATAGGATGGGGAGGATGGATGGGTTTACCCATCCTGATATGTCACCTGTCGCTTTAGATATTTAATACAATAGATCCATCCTGTGGAGTCCACTTCTCTTGGATAAGAGACATCAGGAACAAAACCTGTTTTCATTAAATGATCTTTATTGTGACTGATATGTATGAGTTCTGTTTACGTTCACAAAATTGCTTCGTCTCTATCTTCTAGGTGAAGATATTTGCCCCCAGTATTGAGCAAAGGGATGTAGTCAATCACCTAAAAGGAAGTCCAACAGACGAGAAGAGAAATGTGTTAGTTGAAAGTGCCAGATTGGCCAGAGGAAACATTCAGGATTTGGCTGAACTGAAAGCTAGTGAATTCGATGCAGTCATTTTCCCTGGTAAACGCTTTTAAAAGGAAATAATTTGTGGTTTTTCAATTGCAAATAACTGCTTTGCCTCCGCTACTTTTTTATTTTTAAATCCATTTAGAGAATAAATTATACTCTTGAATTTGAGAGGTATGTGGGTTTTTTCTTTTTTACTTACTTATTTTCTTTTGAGGATGAGAAAATGTTTTAGCGAGCTCTCATGGGCTTACAAGTCATCTCAGTTTATTTATTAATTTATAGTTCATTAATTTAAAATGCCAGAGTGTTCTTTTGGTGTTAGGTCATACATTGCACCGTTCCTTCTTTCTAAAGGTTGTGAAAACTTTAGTACCTACTTGCGGACAAGGACACTGACCAGGTTAGAAAAGTAAGGCCAGAACTTGACGTTATATGGAAATGCCTTATTTTTAGGGCCTCTGAAATTGTTGGCAGAATAATAGGTTGCCAAGTAGATTATATTCCCTGTCAGGTGCGAGTACATTTTGTTTTATTTAAGTATCTGGTCTGCTGCTGATCGAGTTATACTAAATAAAAAATTATCCATAAACATAGACCGCAAAATTGCCTTTCAGACGGAGGTGATTGTAGTCACTTTAGAAATGAAGAAACCAAAGCGTCACGAGGAAATTATGACTTGCTGAAGATCACTTTCCGGAATATTCATCGTACTGTTAAATATTGCCTTCACGATTGTGCCCAAGAGTTAATTTTGAAGTAGTTACACTGTCTTCTGTTGTGAGGCCAGCAGAGGGAGTGTGTGTATAACGCAGAGAAACATACCTGCAGCGCTAAAATGGGTGCGTGACATCAGGGCTGATCAGGGAGTAAGACGCTAGCAAATATTTTCCACGTTAATTTCATGCTGTTATAACCCAGGCTCAGGGGGGTTGCTGTAATAACTGTTAGAGGGAAATAAACCCTATTAAGTTTGAAAATTAAAATCTTACCTCAGAGATTCCAGATAACACTCGAAAGTGAGAGTGAAGGAAAAATACTAAAAATGCAAAGCTTCTTGATGTTGTCTGTTGAAATACTTGTGGAAATTTCTGTTTGTTTAGTGTAGAAAAGTTGATGTTGTGCACATTCCATAAGGAGTCAAATATAACGGATGGTTACACTTACTAATAACCTTCTTACTTTGATTATTCAGATGGTTATAAATCCAGCAAACAAAGGTGCTGTAAAATATGATCTGCCTGTACAATTAAACAAAGATTAAATGCAAGTAAAGGATTGTTATAACTAATTTCTAGAAAGACAAATTCAGCATTATTTTTAATAGGAAATTATGTTATCATTCACAAGTGGTACGTCTCAGAATATCATATGTTAGCAATTCTTTTTTATGTAATATCCATTTTGTTTTTATTGTGTTAACCTTTATTTTTTTAAGTCCAAAAAGAATTCTAGGTGGGGAAGAAGCTCTCTTGTAATTGTTTAAGTACTGAACTGAAACTTGAGAGTGAAATTACTGTAGAGGGTCAAACCACTGTTTGCATTACTCTCCTGAACTGCACTTTCTACCTTTAACTATCATTGGCCTTTCCTCTGATCCCTCCCTTGCTTATCAAGGGGTGCATATCAGATGGTGCAGCTTTTCCAGTCACTAGCAAATGAATGTGAGGTTTCCTATTTCTCCCTTTGTTACTCACTGAAGCAAGATTAAGCTTTGTGGCCTACGTAACATATGTGGTATAAAAAAATGTGCAGTTAAACTTTAACATTATAAACCCATCACGTTTCATGTGCTGAAAGCTTTCAGTATAGTAACTTAACAGTCCTACGTATGCCGTGATTATGTTGTAAAAAAGGAGAACTTCTTTCTGGTATTGAATTTAATGGCTTTTAGCAGTGTCTTACATTTGAGCTTTTGGGTTTTGGGGTTTTTTTTTTAGGTGGTTTTGGTGTAGCAAAGAACCTGTGTTCCTGGGCTGTAGACGGCAAGAACTGCACTGTCAATGAGCACGTGAGGTCCACACTCCAAGCTTTCCACAGTGCTAAAAAGCCCATTGGTTTGTGCTGTATATCGCCAGTCCTGGCAGCGAAAGTCTTTCCTGGTTGTGAGGTGACGGTCGGCCAAGATAAAAACGTAGATGGGAGGTAAGAAGGAAATGGATGGAGATAATTTACATGGGAATTAGGATTAGGAAATGGACAGTCTATTGTGCAAAAGTCTGAGGTCTCTGGTGCCAGTAACTTTTGGGTGACTTACTAGTGACGTTTTTCACTTATTTCAAATTTTCACTTGCACGGTAATAGCAGGCGCGGAACTCTCAGGGCAGACAGACTGAATCTGTGAGGTCAGGTGATTTGTGCGCTACAACGTTGGAACAATTTATCCCTAAATTCAGAAATACATTGGTCTGTGATATGTTCTATGATATCAACATCCACAGACACGTTACAATTAACAGCATGAAAACTCTAGCTAGCCTTATCTCCTGCCTAAGCTGTCACTTTGAGCCACCGAAGGTAACACAGGTTCCTGCACTGGCTTTATTGTGCTGCGTGGGTGCTAATGAGTCACTGGATGTAGCATCCATCAGTCCTAAAAGTGACAGAACAAAGAGACTTTTACAGAATCCTGCCTCTGCAAACACGCAGGTGACCAAGGATATGAAGTTATTTTCTCATGTTACATTCATGGTAATTGAGTGATAGATCTTACCTCATATTAAGTGAGATACAGAATTTGCTTACCCAGTGCCTTTGAAGGCCATGATTCGTGTTGCAAATGTGCAAATGAAGAACGGGCATCTGGCCAGCTGGCATTCAGAAATTTGGTACCCTGTGGTTAATTTGAGTGGCCATTTAAATTGCATCTGTGGGGTTTTGTCTGTTCAGAGATTTTTAATAAAGTTTTTCTGGTGGTAGTGGTTTGGGGCCAGTTTAGGGGAGGCAGAAGTCAGTGCTGCTTCAAGGACTGTCAACTGCCGATAAAACTTCTGAATGGAATTTCCTATCATCATCAGCGGTAGTGAGGGATTGCTTCCACCCCCCTGTTCCTGCCTTATCCTCAGGGAAAAAAAAAATTTGCAGAATCCCAGTGGAAGACCTTATATGGAGGTGTTGGAAAAGGTCTAATGTGTCTGCAAGTTTAGTTGGCATCTCTCAAACTTTTGAGGATCAGTTATGGCTGCACTTGGTATCATCTTGTAAACTTATTGAAAGATTGTTAAAAACAGAGTTGTACCTTCTGACGTGTCGTGGCTCTGCGTTTCAGCTTTGCTTTCAAAGGTAGCAGATCACTTGTGTCCATAGGGGATGGGAGAACCTCACAGTGGCAGTCTGTTTGACTCCCTTGTCATCATCACGGGCTAAAGAGTCACTTAAAGAGTCTTGTGGTTCTCTCATTCAAGCTATGTTGGCAGAACTTTATGGCTGTATCATCTCTATGTTAATTACAGTCTTTTTATTTACAGATTTCCTGATGCTGAAACGGCATCTGCTATAGCAGAGCTTGGATGTAAGCACATTTGCAAAAATGTAAATGAATCCCATGTGGATAAAGCCAATAAAATAGTTACTACCTGTGCTTTCATGTGCAAGGCTCCTCTGCATGAAATCTTTGATGGAATTGGAACAATGGTAGAAGAAGTCCTGAAACTTGCCTGACTGGAAGCATGCAGACTTCTGCAAGGAAATCAATTTAGCTAAGCATAAGCATTTAGTTTCCTTTGATTGTATTAATAAAATAATGCAACTATTAACCTTCACAGTTCTTGTTTTGTTGGTTTTTTTTTTAATCTGTAATACATCAAATGTTTATTGCTAAGTTTATCCTATTTATTTCTCTTTTAAAATAGAAAGCATGAGTTGAAGGTTGTTGTGATGGTGGGGGGCGGGTTTCCCTTTTTTTTTCTCATTAATCTGAATGTATTCAGTCTCGATAAGATGATGTAGGAACCCTCCTTGTCCAATGGGGTTTTATCACATCACCAGTGATTATCAGTAATTCACATTTGGTGTTACCCAGCTATAATTACAGATGAAATAGCTGTAAATGAGTCTGTATAGCTTCAGTATAGGTGAGTAATTCAATTCTACTTTCTAATAAGAAGGGAAAAAGAAAAGAATGTGGTTATTTGGGGTTATTTTTCTTCCCTTGCATGTCTTTAAGCAAGTATAACTAATGGACTTCTGAAATTTTTGCAGAGCCCCCTAGATAAACTGACTTTATAAACCAAGAGTCAGAGGCTTAAGTACAAATGAATACATTGTATGTGGAAAACACACAAGTTTTGCTCTTATAAATGAAATAATTTCAGGTTTAGTTGGTAAAATGAATTAGCTATATTTTGTGGTTTTTTTGCACACATAGTTTAGTGCCCTAAGGAAGGTACATCTTATATATGTTAGAACACGTGCTTTGATCTTACAAATGTGAACTGTTGGTGTCAGCCTTTCTTAGAAGCACAGTCTGGCAAGGCTTTGTACTCCTGAAGGAACTAAAAATTCCCAGAATTCATTATCAAGGTAAGTTGATTGTCACTGTGGACACTTAATTGTCTCAGTGTAAGAAGTGTTCTGATGCTCACAGGTCTCTTGTCAGTCACAACGGGTGTACTGTAGCCCCTGCTTTGCAGTGCCCGAAGTAATCTAAACGTGTCATCACTAATTAGTGCTAATCATGCCTTGCTGAGCGAGCGCCTTGTAACTGCAGCGGGAATACAGCAGGAACAAACCTGTACCACAGCGCAGCCAAAAGGTGGAACTGGGACATAACGCTTTTATGACACGGAGTGTTGAGTTGTCCCTCTTGCTCAGCAGCCGGTACGGTCAGGAAGGGCGCTAACTTTTACCTCATCAGTGCAAGACCAGTCGTTACAGCGAAGCCTGACGTGTTGCAGAGTGTCGAGTGCTACCACTCTCCATGTGTGCCGTGTTTGTTTTAGCACAAACGTCAAAGCTCAGATGTAACAGGCGGCCTCTTCGAGGAGGCTTTAGAGCTAAATCTACAGAAATAAATATATAAAGGCTTTTATTCTCTGTCCTTCTCACAGTGATGTTTCTCATGGACACAGCATTTCCATGCTCCTCCAGAATTTGGATTTCCTGTATGGGGTTATTTAGCAGAAGCAGAACATACAGACATTTTTGGCAGGGAAATTTTTGTGTCGCACGCAAGCAGTGCTCTGCCCCTAGAGGTATAAAGATAATTGGAAGTCAACTGTGCCAGCAGAGGATCTTATGTTCAGCCTGACTGAGCTGTGCACGTAATTGCTAAATTATTTACTTAGTCAAAAAAACACAATATTGGACTGAGCATGGCTCTTCTGTTACAGGAGTCCTATTTACAAGTGCTTGAGTCACTAAATAAGAGTTTGTCCTGAATTTTGTGTTTGCTTTGTGAACAGCGTCTAGCTGTTGGTTGGAACATTCAAAGGAAGCGCAGCTTCTCCGAAAGCGCTCTAGCTGACTGTCCTGATAAAAACGTACTTAATACAGAACAGTCCTCTACTTTTTCCAGATTGTACACTGTCTCTATAATGCCTTCTGTGGCTTCTGCAGGCAGGACGCTGGAGGCATTGGATTGAAACTTTTTCTCCAAGTCCTCCTTTTTCAGAGGTTTCCTCCAGTGGCCGTAGAATGTATCACAGCGGTCGCTGATCGTGTTGCCGTCCCGAAGTATGACACTCACTTCGCAGTAAAGACTCTCAAAGCTAGGTGTGTTATCAGGAGGGTGCTCCAGCTGTGTTTTGCAGAGGAGCTCCCGCAAGGCTGGCCGGTGAATGTTCTCACTGGCAAAGGACTGGACCGACATGCTGCCGTCCAGCAAAGCAGAGCATGCAACAAACTGGAAGGAGTGTCGAGCTTCATGCTCTGAGGTTGGGCTGTGTCTGCTCACATATTTGACCTCTGGGACTTTGAGAATGACTTTCTCAATTTTATCAAGGGGGAGCAAGTTGTCACTGCTCTCCACAAGCTTCCTCCTAACAGAAGATGCTGCATCAGCCACCCAGTGCGTTCCAAGGTGAGCAGGAAAGCGTTTGATGGCCACATCTTGCTGGTCCAACAGCCAGGGATAGGACTGCAAGGTTGGCAGAGCCTGTGGGTTGTAATCTGTATAAAAGGCACCTATCCCCGACTCCATGTCCAAGATCTGTTTGTTTCCTTGAAGGCCCTGTGATGCTAAGCAAGCTGCTTCCAGTCCATGCTTAGCAGCATTGCCAACATGGAGGGGCTTCGTTTGGGTTGCTGCGTTAGCCAGTGGGGCACCTGCATAGGAGGCAGCAATAGCCAAGGCGTTTTTACATTTCAGCTGGTCAAGAGCTAGCAGTTTAGCACAAGCTGCTGCACTCCCCATTGTACCAACCACAGTCGGTGGGTGAAACCTGAGAAAACAAAATCTCTTCATTACCATATTTCAAAAAGTCACCTGAATTCACTATGTACACAAGCTCCAATTTCCTTTCACTGCTGTGGAAAACGGATTGGACCATAAAGAAACATACATTCAGAGTTCATGTGCAGTCCTAACGGAAAAGGTTGTCGCTTTTCCCCAGGAACAAGTTAAACTGGAATGGTACCACTTACAATAGGTCCTCCCCAGAAAGCAATTGAAATGTTAGAACTGCTCATAGTTCAAGGCATACTGAACAGAATAATGGCAAAAGTGTCACAGTTTATAGTCATCTATAAATTATCTGTAAATAATTTATAGTCATCTATAAATTTTACATATTGGGGGAAGCAAATTTTGTTATTCTGAACCAGTTTTGCAAAATCGGTAGAAGGAACACACAGAAAATAGCAGGAGGACATTTAGTCCATCCCACACTTCAAGGCTTTCCCCTAATCACACCCCGTCTTCTTGGGCTCTGCTCTGAGCCCAGCACTGGTGACTCCTTTCTGCTGAGAGCAAGCCACTGTTTCCAAGTGAGGCATGATTGTAGGTATTCATGGAAGCCTGAGACTTCTGCTGTTAAACGTTGCCCTTTTGCTGCTGTTTTTAATAAATAGGGACATCATCACCTCCTTCTTGTAAACTGATCAATGCTCTCAAAAAGACATCTATTAGCTAAGCCGTAGGAGTCATGTAAGTGTATTTATGTTTGAGATGAACCTTTCCTAAATTTCCAGACAAACAACATAGAAAATATGATTAACTGTGCCATTTGTATTTTAACTGGCATTTAATTAAGTATATTAACACTGAGAAAAAAAACCTTCCACTCAACTTTCTACTTGAAGCATTTCTATTTACCTTGTTGGAATATTCCTGGCTTCGCTGGAGAAGCGCAGCAGCCTGCCTTGCACTTCGATTCCCACATTGAAAGCTAAGAGCAGATCGAGACCTGAGATCTTTTTCTTCTGAGGAAAGGCCTCCGAGAGTGCAATCACGGCAGGGAGCACAGCCCCGGATGGGTGTGTGGCTGGATGCCACGTGTCGTCAAAATCCATTGAGTGCACCTAATGGAAAGAGAAGCCTTGACTTGTCATCAGAAATAAACTGTGACTAGGCAAAATTGGCTCAGTCAAATGAAACTACTGTAACTGGTATAGAAAAGGACTGAAGAACTAGATTTTCTTTAGAAAGCAGAACTTCAAAAGTCTTTCTTTTAAGACCTTTAGTACCAACATGGCTCAGTGAGAAGTGGCAATGCAATACAAATCTTGCCTCAAAGGAGTATAATTCAATTCTAATTCAAGTTGCATCAGTCTAGAACCAGTATGACAATGAATCTTCTTTCCTACAATAGGCTTTTGCTGCTTTAATTAGATTGGTATAATTAAAGCAGCAGTTCTAAGTCCACCATGTGAATGGTGAATTTTCACTTCCTCCAAAACAGTATATAGACATAATGAAATTACTTCCCCTGTGCTGCAACTGATGCTGCCATTAGGGCTCACACCATTAAAGCTGTAGCAGTTGAATCCGTAGTGCTAACTGAAAGTTGTATCGAAACAACTTCTCTAGTGCAACTGTCCACAGGCGACAGGCACAAGCCTACAAATGTACATGAGGCTTTAGCCTGAATTTTCAGCACGTCGAAACACGACCTGTCACACGAGGAACCAGACTCCCTGGGGTTGCTGGGAGTAGGAGCAAACTACAGTCTTAAAACTGGGACGAGCTGGGTAGCCCTTGAGAGTATCCAGAGACACGCCTCCTCTTTCCCATGCCCAGAGCCCAGCTGCTCGGGAAGATTTTGGGCATTGCCAGCATGGCATACGGCTGCTGTTCTGGTAGCAGAGTGCTCCCAGCTGTGCACTCAGTGTTTGCAATGTACTGCTTGTCAGAACCACCCCCCAAAGTTTTGAGAACCTCCAAGGAATTGAGAGCATCAGGGACAGCATTTTTAATAACATAATAATGCCTCAAAAGCTGAGCTTTCACACCTATTCACCCACGTCTTACTTGAGAGCAAACCGGGAAGGTGGTCAGGCTCCCCAGTGCTCAGGTCTTGACCCACAGTACTGGGAATACACACTTCGGAGGACTGCATTCCTGAACAGACAGAAGAAGACCCAGTCCCTGCCTTGAAGAACTTTGACGCCAGCTGGGAAGACGCCCTGCAGTGCGGGATAAGGACAGTTGTGCCCAATACCTGATAAGCTGCCTTCCTGGTGTCTTCAGTAAGCGCCTAGCATTGAGTTGTGACCAAGATGTAAACTGAAATGATCATACACATGCTAACAGCCAGATTTGAATATCACACGGGCTACAAGGAGCTGAGAGGTACCAGATCTCATTTCCAAGGTAATTTTCTCT